CTACTTCTTTTAATTATGTAGATGTTTGCTTCGTGTATTTTGAAGTATTAATTTGACAGGTATACACATTCGTGATTGTTATGTCTCCTTGATAAATTGTGTTATCACTATGAAATGTCCTTTGGTAATAATCTTTACTTGATGTCTACATTATCTGATATCAATAAAGCCCCTCCAGTTTTCTTATTCTTATTGTTTGCATGGCATGTCTCTTTCCATCCTTATTTCCAAACCTGGGCCTTTATATTTAAAGTGAGCCTCTTGTAGACAGTATATAGTTAGACCTTACTTATTTTCATTCTTATGATATCTATCTGTTAGAATACTAGTCCATTAACATACAGTGTAATTATCAGTGTGGTTGGACATGCTTCTACTATTTTATTATTTATTCACTATTTGCCATCTCTGTTTTCTGATCCTCTGTTCTTTTCCCACTTTCCTTTGGATTATTTGAATATTTTAAAAATTCCATTCTAATTTATCTCTTGGTTATACTTCTTTATATTTTCAGTGGTTGCGCTGTGATTACTTAAACATTCTTAACTTTCCAGTCTACCTGGAGTTAATACCGTCTCACTTTATGTAATGTGTAGAAACATTGCAACCTAAATAGGTCCATTTACTGACCCCTCACTTCAAACTATAATTGTTATATGTATTACATTTACATACATTTATAAAGCCCATGAGGCAATGTTATAATTTTTACTTTAAATGATCCTATACATTTCTTTAAAAATTAAAGGCAAAAACTGTCTTCTTTATTTACCCAGATATTTACCATTTCTGACACTTTTTATTCCTCCTGAACCTTCAACTTTCTGTCTGGTGTCATTCCCTTCAGCTTGAAGAACTCCCTTTAGTATTTCTTATACTAGTCTGCTGGCAATTAATTCTCTTATTTCTTTTTTTTAAATCATTAAAATGTCTTTATTTTGCTTTTATTTTTGAAGGCTATAGTCATTGGATATAAAATTCTGGGTTGGCAAGCGTTATTTTTTTCTTTCTCTCTCTCAGCCTTTTATAGGTTCTGCATTCTGTAACCTAACCTCCACAATTTCTGATGAAAATCAACAATAATTTGAATTGTTGTCCCCCAGTATGCAATATGCCATTTAACTCTGGCTACTTTCAAGGTTTTTCTATTGATCTTTGGTTTTCAGAATTTTGACTTCTTTATATTTAGCTGCAGTTTTCTTCATACTTATCCTATTTGGGATTGGCTGAGTTTCTTGTATCTGTAATTTATGTCTTTCACCAATTTTGGTAAAGTTTCAACCGTTTTTCTTCAAGTATTTTTTATGTCTCATTCTCTCTCCTTTCCGTCTAAGATTCTAACTTCATGTGTGTTAGGCCTTTTTTTCTTAAGATTTTATTTATTCATTTATTTATTCAGAGAGAGAACAAGCAGGGGGGAGGGGCGGAGGGAGAAGCAGACTCCCCACTTAGCAGGGAGCCCTAAGCTCGGGGCTTGATCCCAGGACCCTGGGGACTTAACCAACTGAGCCACCCAGACACCCCTGTTAGACCTTTTGCTATTGTCCCATAGGTCCTTCGGTCTCTCATATGTTCTTCACCAATCTTTTTTCTTCTATCTTCAGATTAGATCATTTACATTGGTTTAGCTTCACATTCACTGATTCTTTTCTCTGTCATCTCCATTCTGCTCTAAGTCCATCCAGTGATCTGTAAATTTCATATTTTGTTACTTTAACTCCAGAATTTCCATTTGGTTCTTTCTTATAGATTTTTTTTTCTCTCTTGAGATTTCCTATCTTTTCATTCATTAAGGTAATACTTTCCTTTATAATCATTAAGCATACTTATAATACCTATTTTAAATTCTCATTTGCTAATTCCACATCTGGGTCAATATGGAATAGGCCTCCTCTGATTATCTTTCCTTATGAGAATGGGTCACATTTTCTTAATTCTTCATACATCAAGTCACTGTAGACTGTATCCTGGATTTTGCAGCTGTTGTGTTGTGGAGCATATGGATTCTACTATACTCCTTGAAAATGTTGTTTTTATCATTCTTTTTAAGAAGGCATTTAACTTGATTAGAGTCAAATTGCAAATCCCCTCTCTTGGGCAGCAGCTCAAACTCAGTTCATTTCTTTTTTCTCAGTTAGGCTGCTTTGAGCCTGCCCTGCACTTGTGTGGTTCAGGGTCAGCCAAAGATTTGGGCAGAATTTATCCACAGAATTTAGGGCTCTTTCTCTCTCTCTCTTTTTTGGGAATCTCCCCTCATCTTCCAGAAGCTATAGCTGCTGAGAACCCTTCATTCTTCACACCAGAAAAATGGTAGGTAGGTTTTCTATGAGTTTTACCCAACCCATGCAGCTGATAATTTCAGTCTTCATTCAAGCTAAAAGCTAGAAAAAAAGAGAGAGAGAGAGAAACTTACAGTATACCATTCCCTTTTTACAGGTGTCAACTTCCCTCTAGAATTTGCTTGATTCTATCTCCAGTTCTCCAGTGTTGTTGTTGTTGTTGTTTTTAAAGATTTTATTTATTTATTTGAGAGAGAGAGCACAAGCAGGAGGAGTGGGAGAGGGAGAAGCAGGCTTCCCGCCGAGCAGGGAGCCCGATGCAGGGCTCGATCTCAGGACCCCAGGATCATGACCTGAGCTAAAGGCAGACGCTTAACGACTGAGCCACCCAGGTGCCCCTCTCCAGCGTTTTTAAGTAGTTGTTTCTTGCATTTTGTCCACACCTTATACTTATTATCCGTAGAAGGGTCAAAGTGGTATGAGTGGTATTAGTAAAACAACCTAAGTATATCTGCATCTAAAATCCATGTGCTAGGAGCTTGGGAAGATATAGAAAAAGAATGGGTGCCAGGCTCTTCCACCAAAAAAAAAAAACTTAACTATTACTATTCTTTATTAAAATTGATTCTTCAGTGAGTCAAAAAAAAAAACCCACAAAAGCTCACAATTTAGGATAATTTAGAAAAAGACCAGTGAAGGTCTGAGACATGGGTTTATTTCAACAAAATACTCATATATTTGAAGGAATAAATGTGAACTTCAAACTATACTGAAAAAGAACTTGCCAGTAAGAGATGGGTAAGTGTTTCAGGGAATATGATTTTAGTAAATGAATAAGTAAGATTTGTTATCAGAATATCACAGAATTTTAACATGGAAAGGACTATAAGACTCACCTAGTCCATGTTACTCATGTCTGTATGTAAATTAATAATTTATTGATTCACTGAATAAACATTTACTGAATATTTATGAATCGTGGGCCAGGCACAGCACCAGTTCTAAGATGCACAGTGCTGCTTGCACAGCCCATTTTCTTAGTTATTTCAGACTTTGCCATTCAATCTTATTTGCATTATTAATTTCCATTTTGAATAATGTGCTTGATAAGGAAATTTTTTTCTCTGACATCATCCAAATGATTCCAAATTCTTTACCAATAGAATCAAATGTTATAAGACCTTGCTAGATGTCTTTTTCTCTCATTGAGAAACAGCGTACTGTGAAGTGCAAAATGCTACTTTGTGGGCCAGGATTCAGCACTATGATGGTTTGACCTGTGTTTAAACCATCCTGACACCTACACCTTCTTTCTGTAGCCAGTTGCCAGTGACAAGTTCAAACCTGCTGACTATCCTGGGATGGTTCTTTCATTTACTCATTCATTCATGGATGGAGTAGTTATAAATGCAAATGGCATTCAGATCATGGTCCATAGTTCTACAGCTAGGAACCTGTTGACTTCTAAGCTAAGCTGAAGCAGCAAGGAGACAATCACTATCATATGTATATTCAGTGACTCTTAGCAGATGGTTATAATCATGCTTAGTGAAATATATATAAAGTGAGTGTTAGCATACAAAGATCAGGGAAATAACATCTCAGTTAATGTCTTCAGATTAGGAAGTGTCGCTATTTCCTACAATACCCCTAAGAAATGGTTTTATGACTTAATTATGATTCAGATAGCAGGAGTTTTATTGGAGTAGGAGAATATGTTAATATTGTAGAGGAAAGAGGATACCTAATGATAAATTAATGTATTTTCAGAGCATAATTCTTAGCATCAGTTTTTATTTTGATCACATTATTCTACTATCATAATAAGGATTTGCACAATTACTTCTATTTAAATCATTATTTCTTTTTAAAAATCCTGTTACATAATTTGATCACAGGAGGCAACTAAATGAAGTATAATTTTACTTGCCAAGCATGAAGCAAGCTTTCATAATAATAATTAATCAGAACTGAAAGGCATCCTAAAATGTCTATATCATTTTTCAGCAGTGTCTCTATCTTTGGTATGATATAGCAAGATTAAACCCTTTGATTCTAAATGAATGAGAGGAATCATCACAAAGCAAATAATTCTCAATATAGATATGGGGGAAATTTGGGCACATTGTTGGTAGTTAGCAATGAAGGGAGTGTTTTGATTTAGGAGAAAAGAGAACAGAAATGATATAAAAGTTAATTTCCGATTCTTGAATGTTAACAAAGTGGAAGAGGGAGAAATTAGATGTTTCATTTCAGAGTTAAAGAAAATTTGGAACTTAAAATTGCTTTCAGATTCAAACTTTATATTGAACATTTCAATTACCCTGTGTGACATGTGGGCTGATTGTTCTTTCAGAAATAAAATATACAGCAAATTTTCTAAGATTTCTTTTTACATTCTTGAATTGCTATCATTGATCTATAGCTATCTTCGTTTCCTTTTCAAGCTTGTTGATGAAAGTTCTTCTTACTAAGAAAAAGTTTATATTGTGATCACTTATATTTACTAAACTTGGGTAATACAATTACGTGGTTAACATGCCATAGTTTTTGTTTTTTTTTTAATAGAGGAATATAAGATCTATTATTCTTCTTTCTGTACCAAACCAAGGAAACACAGGATCTGTCTCATCCATCAGTAAAGCTGAGTGGCATTTTTTCCAGGCCACAGCCAAGAGATCAAAACCCTGTTACTGCGTGTTTGTTAGAAAGTGGTAGTGTATGCACTCAGCCGGAGACGACCTGTCATCTTTAAAACAAGCCTATTCATCACCAACTATCAATTTCAAGGCCTTCATTGCACCTGCTCTGAGTAACTGTGTATTTACAACTGAAACTTTTGCTCATACATTTATTTTGGGGCTGAGCAAGGTTAGCTCCAGAGAACTGAGAAAAAAAATATCCTACTTAACCCTGCACATTGATCTCCTTTCATTGACGTAACCCTGAGTTGCACGTAAACCAGCCTAACAAGAGACTTTGCTTTTTATACACAGGAGGAAACCCTTCAGCGGGCACGAGAGGAAGAAGAGAAAAGGAAGGATATCACAAGTCATTTCCAGACCACTCTGACAGATATCCAGGCCCAAATTGAACAGCAGAGTGAGCGAAATATGAAGCTGTGTCAGGAGAATACAGAGCTTGCAGAGAAACTCAAAAGCATCATTGATCAGTATGAGCTTAGAGAGGAGGTGAGAACCACATCAAACAACTTAGGGGCACTATATATAGATCCAGATCTGGGCTGTGAAGGTGGGGGACTGGGTTAATAAGAAAGTTATGGCCAGCCCTCTCAATTGATTAATATTTAGGATTGGATTTCTTTTACTAGCCAAAATAAAAACAGGTGGTATTGCAAAAGACCTGGCTGAAAGCCATATGGGATTTCTTTGAAACTGGAATCATTGCAAAGCAAAGGCAATAAATAGGAAGTAGTAGGCCGTGAGCATAGTTATCCTTGAAAATAGTATTTCTCAGCTTTTTAAAAACACTTTCTACAGAGCTAGGAAATATCTCATAGACTCCCTCTTAAGAATCATCATGTCAACTATATGAACCATCTGTGTTCTATATGCCCCGCAAACCAATAATAGTATTAATAATATAATAATTATAATATTAATGGTATTATTTATTCAGTGCTGAGTTTATGCCAGGAAAGGTGCTGAGTACTGTACTTTACATACAATATGTCATTTCATTGCTTCAACAATCTTATGCATTAGATAATACCATATCCACATTATATGGGTGGGAAGCAGAAGCTGAGATTAAATCACTTACCCATAGTCACAAAAGCCAAAAGAGTTTTGCTTTTAATATTTTACATTAGGGACACTATGAGGATCTTTTATAATTCCAAAATTATATCTTAATATTTAATATATTTTTAAGACTCCAAAAGCCCTCTCAGGGTTTTTATATATCATAATTTACCCCATCCCACCCAAATTTTAAATGTCTGCCTTAAATGTCACAGAACATAATCAGAGTGGCTCTGTTGGCAACATGCTAAGATTTTATCAAGAGAAAAACTGAGCCAATAGCACACGGAAGCAGCAGTTAGGTAAATCAAGACACCCCTCACAGTAAGCCAAAATGCCATGGTATCATTTTATCTTGTCACCAAGATCAATCCTACTCCAGAGTGGAGGTTCAGGCAAAAGCAAAAGGGAAGAAGCTTAAAAAAAAAAAAAAGTCCATACTCTTCAGAGAGAGACCAGATAAGAATGGCCTGGTAGACCAGTTGTACATTCTTGAGATTGGTTCTAGATAAGCCCCAAGGCTAGAATCCCATAGGTCCTCTTGCCGATGGGGCCACCTAAGGACCAAGGAATTCTCTATGCTGAAGTAGAATTCAAAGCTTCTCTTCACTAAGCTAGTTAAAAGGTCAAAAGATGTAGAGGAGGCAGGAGCACATTTGCATATCAATTCATCAGTGACCCTTGGCCTTTGTCTTGCCCACCAGAGCTACAGAGTTGAAGTAGGGGGGGTTCCCCCCTGAGTCCCAGACCCTGGGCCACAGGTTGGTCCCCCAGAGCTGCCTCACAACCCTTGAGACAAGAATGTGGAAGAGAATTCACTATGATAAATTGTATGAATATGATTAAAAGCAGTTTTAGACTCACAGAAATCACCAAAATACTGAGTGATGGTGCTGTAGCCCTTGCAATATACATCAGTCTGCCATCCAGCATAATAAGTAGCATCATATCTGGTAGTTACTAAGTTTAGACCACAAAGTTGGGAGCTTCTGGAGCTAACATTACTGAACTCTGGCACCTCTACCTTTTGCAGCCACTACTTTGTAAACTGCCAAATGCAGGGGACTTCACCAATTTATGACTTTTATACAAAGTCGTAAGTGATGCCAGTGCATTTATTCCCCCTGCTGCCCTTCTCTTTAAATCTCAAAACCTGGAGAACATGTGTGTTGATATTACTTTTTTATCTTACATTTCTCAGCACCAGTAATAAGTCAAGCTTGATATGTGCCATTTCTTTTCCCTTAGCATCTGGACAAAATACTTAAACACAGAGAACTGCAACAGAAGCTGGTAGATGCAAAACTGGAACAGGCCCAAGAAATGATGAAGGAAGCCGAGGAGCGACACAAACGCGAGAAGGAATATGTACTTATCAGTGTGCTTGTCTGGTCTGCCTGGGGCTCAGAGAACCTCTGAGAAAGTTGCTTTTGATCAGAATCACAGAACACTAAGCTGATGGAGGGATCCTGAGCTTCCCTAGAGAACCACATTGGCCAGCCCATAGAAGGCACTATACCTATATGGTTTTTGACATAAAATAGTCACACATCCATTCAACAGACCTTTTTCAAACACCTGTCTTATGCCAAGCAGCATCCTAGGTGCTGGGGGATAGCAGTGAGCAAGACCAAGAAGGCCATGTCCCAGCACAGAGACTAGAATCTAACTAAGAAAAGACAGACAATAAGCAAGCAAACAAAGAAGGAAAATTTCAGATAATAATCAGTGCTATTAGGGAAATAAGGAGGAACTGAAATGGGGCAGAAGGAGGGGGCTACTGTAGACGGGGTGACCAGGAGCCAAATTGCATAGCTTTGTAGGCTTGGAAAGTAGTTTGGATTTTATCCTAAAGATACTGAGAAAGTCCTGGTAGTTTTAGCTAAGGAAGTGACATGATCTGCCTGGCATCTGTAACAGATGAATTTGGCTCCTGGGTGGAAAATGAACTGAAGAGGGACAAGGAGGCTACTGCAGCAGTCTGGGGGAGGCATGATGGTGGCTTGGGTTGGGGACGTGGCAGTGGACCAGGGGAGCTGGACATGGATAGAAGTTACCTCTTCAGGCAAAACCAACAGTCAGTGCTCTGAACTTAAGATGGTGACAGTGAGGAAAGGGAAGAGTCAGAGATGATTTCTGAGTTTGGGTTTTAAGAAACTGAGTGGTGGCTCTTAATGACATCTCATTAACCCCAAACATTCCAAAACAGCTGCAGGGCCATTCTCCATATGCGAGAACTGAGGCTTATAGAAGACCTGTGACTTGTTTAAGGTCCCCACATGGCTTAGTGACCAAGATGTGTTGGTTCCACTACCACCATCCACTACCACCACATCACATCTCCAGTGTGTCTGTCTCCAAAGCCTAAGCTCTGTGATTGTACATCACACTCAGAGGTGGGTTTCAGAGGCATGAGTCAAAGTGTGCGTCTGTTGCTGGGGAGAAATTTAAAACTCAATCAGTGGACCAATCATCCAAATTTGGCCATTTAACAATTGATCACGAACTCTGCAATTACCTAAAATCAGACTAGAATCATTTCAATTTGTTAGAATAGTGATTTAATCATAACTTCGGTTTCCAAACGTGGCAACAAAAGGACAAATTTTGGAGAACATAACCTGATGGACATTGGATAATCTCAGATAAGAAGTCCACGGGTTCTTAATAAAAAAGATTAAGTTGGGGCGCCTGGGTGGCTCAGTCAGCCAAGTGTCTGCTTTCCATTCAGGGAATGATCCCAGGGTCCTGGGATCAAGTACCGCATCAGACTCCCTGCTCAGCAGAGAGTCTGCTTCTCCCTCTCCCTCTGTGATCACTCTTGCTCTCACTCTCACTCAAATAAATAAATAAAATATTTTAAAAAAGAAAAGATTAAGTTGTTAAATCCATCTACAACCTAGCTCTCAAAATAAGAAATAAAGCATTTAATTATTATTCAGAATCCAAGAAAACGGATACTCCACCGTTGGCACAATTATCCTCTTAAGCAAACTATGCTCCCTTCAGGATAGCAGTACCTTTGATATATAACATCAGACATGACAGAATAACTAGGCAGAGCTTCATTTGAAAGAGACGAGGGGCAGTTTTGAGGTGACCCAGCCTTAGCAAGAAACTAGTGTGCTGCCCTATTTTCCTACCCTTGTTTAGCAAAGCAGCAGATTTGAGTCAGAGCCCAAAAAAGTAGCCCCCTCAGTCCTTCAAAGCCGGCCACCTACCCGGGTTCCAGCTGTGATGCTTCTTATTGAAAGTGGTGAAATATCAAGTCAGACCTGGAGGGTTCCCTCATCCCAAGCAGAACAGACAGCCACCTTCCTCCCACTTGGTCAGGGAACCACCCATCACCACTGGGCTCCTCAGCCTGCTCAGTGGAGCAGGGGCTCAGATGGCCAGAGGGGAGCCCACAGGTCTTGTACTCCACAGCTGCCTCAGCCCTCCATGGGATGGGTTGACTGCACTCCTGTAACAATGAACCTTCACTGCTCGCTGGGAGGCATAGAGGAACAGACATAACCCACTTTACAAATAGAGAGGTTGAGCCACGAGAAAAAGATAAACTTGAATACGAAAAAAGATGCCTCCAAGCTTTTTTAAATGATGACTTTATTGTCTTTTGTTCTGATTACAAAAAGGGTACATTTTTAAAAACAGGAGCAAAGAAAAAGAAAATATAAATCAGCCTATCTTGAAGATAGGCTGAGTACTTCTTAAGCTGATGGCCACCTAATTGACTAGCCAGATTAATCCATGATGTCCACCATTCTCTCTGAAAACACACTAAAGATGCCCACAGCCTGTTAAATCCTGTGGCTAGACAGCCACTCGAGTGTCTATACATGGTTTCCCAAGTTAAGTAAGATGGCACTGACCAAGAATCAGCTTTGCTTTTGTATTATGAAAACCACCAGAATGACACAGAAACTGATGAAATATAAGTGTGAAAAGAAAGAGCTGTTTCTATGAAAACTATGCTTAATGCTTTGAAAGACTAAATGTAGGCAAACAGCATAAACCAATTGTCAAGTTAGATGGGAGTAGCTGTAAAAGACTGGGAGAAAGCTCTACAACTCCAGAGAATTATCCAATCAAGCTTCTTCGCAAATATCTTTAGGTCTGCAGGTTCTAGTACTATTATTTTAAAAAGTTAAAAAAAAGGATTATAAATCTTACGTGGCACATTATGGACATAATTTTTATAAAAACAGAACAAAATAACAAAAAGCTCCTCTGAATTCCAATCAGAAGACCCATGCCCAAAACAAAGATCACAGCCCTCTATCAAAGCCAATAAATAAACATGCATCTTAAATTAAAATAACATTTTACTATTTTTATAAAGATTTTATTTATTTATTTATTTATTTATTTATTTATTTATTTATTTATTGGGGAGAGAGAGCACAAGCAGAGGGAGGGGCAGAGGGAGAAAGAGGAAGCAGACTCCCTGCTGAGTGCAGAGCCCAACTCAGGGCTCCATCTCACAACCCTGAGATCATGATCTGAGCCAAAATCAAAAGTCAGGTACTTAACTGACTGAGCCACCCAAGTGCCCCAAAAATAACATGTCTTACATACGGTTGCGTGATTTTTATGCCTAGAAACAACGTTTTCAATTTAACCTATCAGCTCTCAGTTCTGACTGTCTTTGATATGAGGGCCTTAGTTGTATTTGAAAAGCTGCCTCGTGGAAGAGGGATAAGACTTATTGTGTAAATCTTCTATAAGATTTGGAATAATAGGTCAAATTTCTAACCCAGTGTTTCTCAAAATGTAATCCATGGAACACCAACATCCAAGCTGTCTTGGGGATTTGCTCTCACTATAGACTTTAATCACACTCTGTACTTCCTAGTTTACATTCTTTGAGAGGGATCTGCATTTTAACATGCTCCCTAGCAGATTCTGATGCATGCGATGGTGGAGAACCGTGGTCTAGGAGAATAACTTTGAGTTACTATAAAGGAACAGCTGCTCACAACAATGACCCAGGTGGGGGTGTTCTGGAGATGTTCAAGCAGATGCTGAATGATGGTTGAGCAGGACTGGTAGAAAAGGTTCCAGAGTTTGGTGGGAGGTTAAATTTTATGTGATTCATGCTTGAGTTGCAGATTATTTTTTCTCTTTTTTATCGATTAGAACCACAAACTTTTAGTGGCGAATCCAACTGTTCAGCTGTTTCCTTAGCTTTCCTAGATACTTTGCGAAGTTCCCAAAATTTTACTTAAGAGGGTTAGTTAGCAAGTCATTAAGTCTTACACACAAATTATTGCCACATGGTGATGTAAAGGGCAATTTGACAGTCTTTCCATGCATTCTCTCTCCTCACAGTTGCTGAACCAGGCAGCAGAGTGGAAACTTCAGGCCAAGGTGCTGAAGGAACAAGAGACAGTCCTGCAGGCTCAGGTGAAGTTGGGGCGGGGGGCGGGCAACAATGCATGGAGTGTGCTCTCCTCGCTGCTTCCACCATCTAGAATATCCTTGCTTGTCTGATATTATTTATAACATAAGGAAATTAGAAAACTAAAGCCAGCGCCAAAGTTTTCATGCTGTCAGAGGTCAGCCTTGTCGGTGGTTAATGACTAGAAACAGCGGACAAGGAGGGAACAATTTTGATTTGGCTTTGTGATGTCATGTGTGTGTTCTGAGGAGACCACAAGAATCCATATTTCAGACTCAAGAATAAAGGCTCAGGCAACAGATGACTGTATCCATCTTTCCCGTGCCCTTGGGGCTCTGCTCCTTCCGGCAAACGTTCCCTGTGGTGTTCCAGATGAGCATCCCAGGGCTGAGCTGTAAAGGGGCGCTAGCTCCCATGCTGGGAGTCCCAGTGCTACAGGGACTGTAAGTCACAGAGAGCAAATAAACTCACAGAAGGTGAGGAAATCACAAGCCTTCCAAGCTGGGCAGCGGTAATTTCAGATTTGGATAATTCACTTGTAAATGTTTATGTGCGGACTGCTATATGTTTATTCAGAATAAAAAACAAAACCAAAAAACTTGTTCACTACATGAATGAACAAGTTCAATGAATACTTGTTCATTTTTAAAGAGACAGATAAGAAAAATAAGAAACTGAAAATCACAAATCATTATCCCTGCAGACAAAAATACAGATAACATTTCCATATCTAAACTTCCTAAAGCAGACTTTTCCAATGTGTGAACCGAATGCAGTGATAATTGTTTTCCCTCAGTAATATAAAATAACCTATCGAAATCATTTTTAAATACTCATTACATAGGAGTTTGAAGCATAATGTTTCTTACTGTTAATAAAACTAAAGGATCCAGAGTTAAAAGATTAAACTCTAGAGTTACAACTCAAGATCATCCTCTAGGTCATCACAGAGCCACCACATCATGGTTGTGAGGTAGGTGGTAGGCAGTGGTCGCTCTCTAACCAGAGGCGGGCGGGAGGAGAGGAGGTGTGACCTCACAGTCTTGGAGACAGTCCAGAGAATCAGGACAGGGCTGCTGGCCCCATCTCTGCCCCATTCGCAGCACAGAGCCTTGAGGGATACAATAGACAATATTTGAAGCTATTCATTGTTCACATCGTTTGTGACAAGCAATGTCTACTCCTCTATACTAAGTGGTGATAATGAACTTGAGAAGGGTATATTAATACCTTAGACTCTGGGCTAGAGAGTCATGTCTTCAGCTAGCATCAGAATCTAGGCCTTTAAAGACCTGTGGAATAAAACATAAAGGTGTGATCCAATATCCCACCAATACCCCCTTAAATTCGAAAAAGCATCTACCAGGAATTTTAGACTTGCCCATGTTCCTCGTTCATCCCTCAATACTGGACTGAGTCCAGAGACCAAGGTCAGAGTCCTGGCTCTTCTGCTCAGAATTTGTCTGACCCTGTGCAATCCATCTGAACCTCCCTACACCTAAATATCTTTGTCTGTAAAATGCATCAGTGATCCCGAGCTGGAGTTCTCTGACCTCTGGGAGGCTCATCACTTTTCAGTATTTCCAAAACACAACAGCATACAAGGCAGCAGCTACGATCTAAAATATAGTTGCTTTTGACATTATATCAGTTCTCCCTCAGCAGCTATGCATGGCAATTATTCACGTGTTTGGTTAAATTTATAAAAGGAAAATGAGTTAATGAATATGTAATATATGCAGTTTGTTTTCAAGTTATGCATGCAAAGCACTTAGCTCCATGCCTGGCCCATAAGAAGCATAATTAATTCAACCAATATTTATTGAGCACCCACTCAGTGCTAGGCAAGGTTCTAGGTGTAGGAGATACACTAATCAATAAGAGAATCAAAAATCCCTACCCAATGAAATTCACAATCTAGTGATAATAATATTAATAAAAATGCTAACAATTAGTGTGTGAGCTAATACAACTATTATTTCATAGGTGAGGATCTACGTAGGGATGTATGAGACAAAAGGAGTCTTTAGTTGCAAAAAAGTTGAAGAACCGCTGGAACAGATGATCTCCAGACCCTGTCCAGCTCTGTTCTTGAATGCAGAGAACGTCCAGAGTTGAAGCCATGTGGCCCGAAGCTGGGTTAACCTAGCCTTCTCCTCTACTGCTTTGTTTTCCATCATGTGGGGCTCTCTGCAAGGACCGTCCCTTGTCTGTCCCTTGTCTTCAAGGCACTTTTCAAAACTCCAATAATAACTTAATCTTCAAGAAGAATATAGAGGCCCCCAAACCCTATGTGTAATCATGTTTAAAGCTCCTCTTCAAAAGTAGCAACATTATATTTTTAAAACCTTTAAACCTGGAGAAACAAAATCTACCACAGGTCAGTGGGCTTAGCCCTTGAACACTTCCTTTGATTTTACAGTTTGTTTGAAGGAGTGGAGCGGTAGGAGACAGAGGTCTTAAGTCCCCGTTTCTACGGTCTGAGCAAGGGAAATAACAAGGACAGATTGTGTTTTACTAGACGAAGTCACTTTCAGCCGTAAGACAACAGCTTGCCAGTGTGCGGCATGGTTTTCACTTAGGGAAGAGATGTCTGGCTCTCAGTTATACAAACCAAGGCAACAGAGTAAATGTCAGACATGATCAATGGGATACAACTGTCACTACAAATAGAGTGTTCATTGGATCGATACAGATGAAGATGGTAGATGTGGAAAGTCAGCAGTACAAACAACCCAGCCACGCGGCCACAAAGATACGGCCCGAGGGGAAAGATCATGGAGTAAATTGTTAAAGACAGCAATCATAGCCTTTAAACCCAGAAGTCCTCACCTTCTGTGGAGAGGATGAGAGGAGATTACTCTGCGACTACTACTATAATTGGACTTGTTCCCAAACCAAATCTCACAAGTTTGCTAAGACAATTCCTGGACACGCTTCTGTTTCCTAAATGCTATGAAAGTTTGTAATTAAAATTCAGTGCTCCATTAAAAGAACGTATGGGTCGCTCACCCACTTAAAACTGAAAATGTTGGGGCAATTGTTGCTATTACTGACCCTAAGAATAGTTTGTTTCTATTTCTGCCTCTGGCAGGAGTACTGTGGATGACCTCTGGATATCCCTTCCATGGTTCTCTGAAATACCAAAACAAGAGCAGGAATATGACACGTGAAACCAAACATGCATCATGTCAGCGTAATAGTGAGAGGGGAGGTACTACCAAGCAAACTGGCATAAAGTAAACAGGCAGTGCCCATTTTTAGTTAGTGTAGGTAAAGAGTGTTGGAGTTGGTTACCTGAGGAAAGTGTAATCCACACAGATTTTGCCACCTACAACAAAGAGGTCAAATAGGAAGAAAAGCTGAGTACGAAAAACAGTTCTAGAAGGGAAATGGGGACTTAACTGTTTCCTGGGTGTCGAGTTTCAGTTTTGCAAGCTGAAACAGTTCTGGAGATTGGTTACACAACCATGTGAACAGAGTTAACAACACTGAACTGTGCACTTAAAATAGTTGAGATGGTAAATCTTACATTACATGTATTTACCCTAATTAAAAAGAAAGAAAAAAAGTTGAGGGAAGAAAAAAAACGGTCACTAGAAAAAGGCCAGGAGAAGTGGTAATGAAAGGAGACACCGCTTCCTGGCACTCTGGGTGTGTCTGCCTTCTCCATGCCACAAGAAAACATGAGGAAAGGAAACAAAATCTGCCCAACGTATACACCCAAACGAGCATTTTGCCCAAAGAAAGGGCAGAAGCTGAGCAAGCTGGGTGCGGTTGCCCCCGCTGATGCTGACAAGGTTGTGCCCGGGAGGTGGATGGCGCATGCGCCCAGTCGGGCTCCTCCTGTGGGCCTCCTGGGGCTCCAGGGCCGCAAGAGCGGGTTTGGGAGGACTTGCTCAGGAGACCGGAGTATCTGTCACCCTCCTGTAACTCTGCAGCAATTACTGAGAAGTGTGGAAAAGACAGGAGAGAAAGTCAGAAAAAGAGGCTTAACAGAGACCTGACCAGGAATGCAAATGAACAGATTTTGTAATAAAAGGTGAAGAGGATCAGCCCGGAGTAGCTGTTCCTACCCTAGACTGCTAGATCATGTGCAGTATAGGTAGCCAGTCCCATAGAAGCCTATGCTCGGATTAAGGAGCTTGACCTACTTATGGGCCCTGAAATCAATTCAGTGGATCCCAGCCAGTACTTTGGAAAAAAAAAAAAAAATGAAACAGAATTAAATAGAACAGGTCAAGAGTGTGTTGCACATAATGAGTTAATGAGTAAGGATTGTCTTATGCACTGTGTGTGTGCGTGTGTGTGTCTGTGTGTGTAAAACCCTGGGGTACCCTCCTGGCCATGACTTCCCTGATGCTCCTTTACTCAATCTTCTTTAATCTGTGTGCCAAGGAATCACGAGAAACAAATTTTAGGCCACCAGAGTTGCCCTGTCACATATTCACAAAGCTAAGGTGTGATTTCAAGATGATGGCCAGCCATTGTTTGACTTCTCTTTGGAAAATCTATCCTGTGGAAAGATTTTATATTATCATTTCGTTGTTCTTGTTTACTGTGGTAAAATCTCTGCTATTCTAAAACATTTGAGAATAAGCCATTCTAGATAAGCAGATTTTCTGGGTTCTAGGGGTTGAGTCCCATACTCTCTCTACCTCTCACCCCCAAGACTGAGAACTCTCCAATCTACTGGTTTCCAGTCAGTAGTTTTTTTCTGCTTTCAAAATGAGTGTCACAGGTACTACCAGCTAGTCATTCAGTGCCCAGTTGAGGAGTTGGAGCTGCTCCAGGCATTCAACAGTACCAAATACTCTTTGAAAATGCAGGCTTGGGGCGCCTGGGTGGCTCAGTCGTTAGGCGTCTGCCTTCGGCTCAGGTCATGATCCCGGGGTCCTGGGATCGAGCCCCTCATCGGGCTCCCTGCTCCGCGGGGAAGCCTGCTTCTCCCTCTCCCACTCCCCCTGCTTGTGTTCCCTCCCTCGCTGTCTCTCTCTGTCAAATAAATAAATAAAATCTTAAAAAAAGAGAAAAAAGAAAATGCAGGCTTTACTAACATGTATCATCCATATTAAATCTCCATTCACTCAAAGCATGCTATTCTAAAATCATTTTCAAAAGCAAAATTTTATTATTGCATTCCTGTCACTAGCAACACACTCTCCTTTCCTGCCCTGCTTTATTCCTACCCCAAATGCAACCCTTGGAATAAGGACGTAGATAGAGGTACAAGGTACTACTCCCATGGTGAGCCACACACTTGCCAATGCTAGCCCATATGATGTTTGATATTCTATGCATATTAGAAAAGGCATTTCTTCCTCAAGACTCATTCTTTCCATCTGTAGAAAATTGGTATAATAAACTGGTTTTGATGAAAAGGGACATTTAACTGCTATTGGCTAGAACACTGTATTCAGAAACATACAAAACCAACATGACTAAAATGCAAATGGCGGCTGCTCAGTGGGGCACAGCTGTATAATGGCAGCCACCCATGTCTGGTCCACCTTTCCTACCACTGCTTTTCATTTGTCTACATTCTCACTCCCTTCAAGACCAAGTGCAAGGCTCGCCTTCTCCACAAAAACATGGCTCACATGATCACCTGCCCTGCTCCCTTCCTTTTCTGACTGGCACTATCCTTAATGGAGTTGGCACTTTGTATTCACTGTCCCACAATCAAGTAGTCTATGAGATTATCTTCCTATCAGGAGCAGAAGTCTCTCAAAAACAGTAGTCACGTGTTAAATGCTTTTGTACATAGAGTCAATGCGTATATTCAGTGCTCAATAATAGTTTGTTGGTAAAAGTTTTGATATAATGAAATGGTGATGACATGTCATTATTTCATTTTTTCCTTAAAGATGTACTTCACTCATACTCACTGACTTAGGTTGTTCTCATAGTAAATAAAATAACTGAACATATTACTAACATTGTATTGAGAATTCCCTCAAGTCATTGTTCTTTTCAGATAATGAACAATGACATGTTGTTTTGTCCTGGAAGCATTCTGAAAGCAGCCCTAAAATAGATCCACTCTTTCCCCTATTTACAGCTTACTCTGTACTCTGGAAGGTTTGAAGAGTTCCAGAACACACTAACAAAAAGCAATGAGGTGTTTGCCACTTTCAAACAGGAAATGGATAAAGTGAGTATTATCCCCCCACAAAATCCTGCATTTTCTGTTTTGACAGGCAATTTTCCTTTGGGTTCATTTTTCTCTCAAGATACTTCAGTGCATTTCATGAAGTAATGAAACACTTATACATGCAAATGAGATTTTAGACTGTATTTTTTTTATTGGTAAGTATCTGGTAAATTAATCTCAGGAAGAGTCCAAAAACGCTAGGATACATTTTCACTCTGAGAAAGAATATTTTCCTTTTCTAGTCCATCAAGAGCTAAATAAAAAAAGAAAGAAAAAGGAAAAAAAAAAAAAAAAGACAAGAGCTGGCAATTTAACATTATGTTGTTTATACTAAATTTTTTGAAAAATCTAATTTTTAAAGATTGAAAAAACTTTCATACAAATGTGCAAGAGGAGAATTTTAGAGTAGAAAAACCATTTCATACAATCCTTCTTAGAAGAGAATATATGTAGTATGTTATAATTGGCAGAGCCTTGAATGAGAAGGAAGCCTGAATTCAAATTCTGGGTGTGTTGTCACTCCTCAAGTAGCACTGGGCAATCCACTTAACTTCCCTCCAATTTTATTTTTCTTATCTATACATTAAGATACCATTTCCCTTGCCTACTTCACAAGATTGTGAAGTTCAAATATAAATTAATGTATTTTTAAAGGGTTTTAAACTTTCTTCTACCCTTTTACAAATATAAGGTGCTAAATATTATTATTGCACATAATGTTTAAATTTTATTCAATCCAATATTTTCCCAAAATAAAATTAGCATCAGAATTGTGTTTCTTAACAGGCACTGGCATTAACCTTTTTTAAGTGCACAAAGAATCCTTTTAAAGCATTTTCTTGGGGTGCCTGGGTGGCACAATCAATTAAGCATCTGCCTTCAGCTCAGGTCATGATCCCAGAGTCCTGGGATCGAGGCCCACGTCAGGCTTCCTGGTCAGCAGGGAGTCTGCTTCTCCCTCTCCCTCTGCTCATACTCTCTCACTCTCTCAAATAAATAAATAAAATTTAAAAATTTTTTTCTTAAAATTATATGATAAATTTCACAGTTCAATGAACAAACATAAATAGGCCGACACTTGTTAAAATTACTACTTTCCTACTCCAAGATGAATCTATTTTTCAAAAATCTTTTTTCACTATAGTGTGTTAAGATTAGAATAAATATTAGAGCAGAAAAGTGTTTTTACTTATTTCAAAATTAGTTTTGATATTGGAATAAATATTAGAACAGGAATTTTTAATCTGGAATTTATTTATAGACTTTTAAAGTCAACTTGAGAATTAGCACACACAAAAAAAACTGATGTGCATATTGCATTTTTTTGAGTGTGGTTCCATAGATTTCATCAAATTCTTAAAGAGGTTGATGACTTTAAAAAGTTTCTAAACCACTAACTTGGTTAAGAAATGATCAAAATTAAAAACCATTCAAAGCTCCCCTAGCTTCTCTATAGAGCCCAGGGGCTGACAGCCTGGGCCCAGCCTCTGGCCTCCAAGCACACACCACCTCAGACAGCATGGCACAGAGCCAGCAAGTGCCCAGGTGTGGTTCATCCAGAGAAACTGCACCCGATTATATGCCTGACCTTCACTTCATCCAAGCAGAGCAGAGATCTAACAAACAGTTTCAGGTTTAAAAAAGATGGGCTGCATTTTATTAACTTCTGTATCCCCTACACCCAGCTCCTTACTGATGACCAGCAGACACTCTGTGTATGTTGCATTAAATGGAATGAAATAACTCTAGTCCCACTCTTCTGCTAATTCACCTGAATATTCTTCCACCTCTCTGAACCTCAGTTTCCCCAGTGATAAAGTGAAGGTGAAAACAGAACCTTCCTTTTGGGGCTGTTTCAAGGATGGAATGAATAATGCATGTAATCACATTCTATGAATCCCACCACACTCTACAAATGTGATGACAGAGGGAGCAGAAAGATGGTGGTGGAGTATGAGGACCCTAGACTCACCTCATCCTACAAACACAACTAGGTAGCTATTAAATCACCCTAAATACCCCAAAAATTGACCTGAAGACTGACAGGATGAACTCTACAACTAAAGCGAGAGAAGAGGCCACATCAAAGAAGGTAGGCAGTGCAGAACCATGGTTCAGGGGAGAAACAGATTGCAGCTGCTGTGGAGGGGAGGGAGCTGTGGTCGTGGAAAAGGGTGAGAGAGAGAGGAGCACACAGGGAAATGCACAAGGAGAACATTTCCCCAGAGTCATTGGCTTAGAAAATGAGAGGGGCTGAATTATGAGTTCTTGCAACCAGTGGGTCTTAAAGCCTGGAGTTTTAAAGGTCAGCAGTCTTTACTGGAGAGAAGCAGGCAAAAATCCCAGGGTAGACAATGTGGAAATGGCGATGTGAAGAGCACCTGGGGCACACAGTGGGGAGATTATTCCCACTTTTCAGAGTGTGTCCCTGAGGGGAGCATTCATGGAAACACCTCTCCAGGAACACAGGAGCTGGCCAGCACCATTTCCCTCCTCTGCCCCTCAGCATAAACGTAGAGCCACCTGCAGGAAGCAGTGCAGCATGGACACCGGCCACCACAGCACACACTGGAGACCTTCCCTGAAGCACCAGGCTCTGGGCACTACATGACCTCCTCTTTATAAGGCCATTACCTTCAGGAGCAGGAGACATAACTGGCCTTTCTAATGCAGAGAAGAAGACAGAGACTTAGACAAAATGTGAAGATAGAGAAATTGATCCAAAATGAAAGAATAAGATGAGACCACAGCCAGAGACCCAAGCGAAACAGATATAAGTAACATGCCTGATGGAGAACTTAAAGCAACAGTCATAAGAATACTCACTGGCCTTGAGAAAAGAATAGAAAACATCAGTGAGACCCTTACCACAGAGATGAAAGAGTTTGAAAAGAATCAATCAGAGATGAAGAATGCAATAAATGAGATTGGAAACTGGCTTGTTGCAATAAACAGCAGGCTGGGAGAAGCAGAGGAACAAATTAGTGACCTGGAAGACAAAGTCATGGAAAGTAAAGAAGCTGAACAAAAGAGAGAAAGAAGAATTATGCAACATAAGAATCAACTCAGGGAACTCAGTGACTCCATCAAATATTTGTATTGGAGGAGTCCCAGCAGAAGAAGAGAGAGAAAGGGGAACAGAAAATTTATCTGAGGAAATAATAGTTGAAAACTTCCCTAATCTGAAAATTTCCCTAAGGAAACAGATACCCAGATCCAAGAGACACAGAGAACTCCCATCAAAATCAACAAGAGCAGGCCAACACCAAAACATACTGTAATTATGTTTGCAAAATATAGTGATCGAGACAAAGTCCTTAACTTACAAGGGAAAATCCATAAGGCTAGCTGGAGAGTTCTCAACAGAAACTTGGCAAGACAGAAGGCAGTGGCATGATACATTCAAAGTGCTGAATGGGAACAGAAATCTGTTGCATTTTTATACACCAATAATGAAGAAGCAGAAGGAGAAATTAAGAAAACAATCCCATTTACAAGCACCAAAAACTATACGATACCTAGAAATAAACCTAACCAAAGAGGTAAAAGACCTGTACTCCGAAACTATAAAACACTGATGAAAAAAATTGAAGATGACAGGGGCACCTGGGTGGCTCAGTCGGTTAAGCCTCTGCCTTTGGCTCAGGTCATGATCCCAGAGTCCTGAGATCGAGCCCCACATCAGGCTCCCTGCTCAATGGGGAGTCTGCTTCTTCCTCTCCCTCTGCTGCTCCCCCTGCTTGTGCTCTCTTCGGTGCTCTCTCCTCTCTCTCTCTCTCAAATAAATAAATAAATTCTTAAAAAAAAAAAAGAAATTGAAGATGACACAAGAAATGGAAAGACATTCCATGCTCACGGATCAGAAGAACAAATACTGTTAAAATGTCTATACTACCCAAAGCAAACCTACACATTTAAAGCAATCCTTAACAAAATACCAACAGCATTTTTCACAGAGCTAGAACAAACAATCCTAAAATTTATATGGAACCACAAAAGACCTCAGATAGTCAAAGCAATCTTGAAAAAGAAAAACAAAGCTGGAGGAATCACAATTCCAGAGTTCAAGTCATATTACAAAGCTGTAGTAATGAAAACAATATGGTACTGGCACAAAAACAGACACATAGATCAACAGAACAGAAGAGAAAACCCAGAAATAAACATACAATTATACGGTCAATTAATCTTCGACAAAGCAGGAAAGAATATCCAGTGGGAAAAAGAATGTCTCTTCAATAAATGGTGCTGGGAAAACCAGACAGCAACATACAAAAGAATGAAACTAGACCACTTTCTTACACCATACACAAAAATAAATTCAAAATGGATTAAAGACCTAAATGTGAGACCTGAAACCATAACAATCCTAGGAGAGAACACAGGCAGTAACTTTTTTGACACTGGCTGTAGCAGCTTCATACATATGTTTCCTGAGCCAAGGATAACAAAAGCAAAAATAAACTATTGGGACTACATCAAAATAAAAAGCTTCTGCACAGTGAAGGAAACAACCAACAAAACTAAAAGATAACCTATGGAATGGGAAAAGATATTTGCAAATGACATATCTGATAAAGGGTTCATATCCAAAATATATAAAGAACTGTTAAAACTCAATACCCAAAAAATGAATAATCCAATTAAAAAATAGGCAGATGACATGCAAATGGCCAACAGATACATCTTCTTTTTGCAAAGAAGACATGCAAATGGCCAACAGATACATGAAAACGTGCTCAATATCACTCATCATTAAGGAAATACAAATCAAAACTACAAGGAGGTATTATCACACTAGTCAGCATGGCTAAAATTAACAACTCAAGAAACAACAGATGTTGGCAAGGAAATGGAGAAAGGGGAACCCTCCACACTATTGGTGGGAATGCAAACTGGTGCAGCCACTGTGGAAAACAGTATGGAGTTTCCTCAAAAAGTTAAAAATAGAACTACCCTACAATCCAGCAATTGCACTACTAGGTATTTACCCAAAGAATAGAAACATACTAATTCAAAGGGATACATGCACCCTGATGTTTATAGCAGCATTATCTACAATAGCCAAATTATGGAAACAGCCAAATGTCCATTGAATGATGAATGTATATAGAAGATGTGATATATTTATATATACAATGGAATATTACTCAGCCATAAAAAAGAATGAAATCCTGCCATTTGCAACAACATGGATGGAACTAAAGAGTATTATGCTAAGTGAAATAAGTCAGTCACAGACATGTGATTTCACACACACGTGGAATGTAAGAAACAAAACAAACGAGCAAAGGGAAAAAGAGAGAGAGAAAGGCAAACCAAGAAATAGACTCAACTAGGGAGAGCAAACTGATGGTTACCAGAGGGGAGATGTGTGGGGCAATGGCTGAAATAGGTGATGGGGATGAAGTAGGGCATTTGCTGTCAGGAGCACCGGGTGTTGTAGGCAAGTGTTGAATCACTATATCATACAGCTGAAACTAACATTACACTGTATGATAACTTACTAGTATTTAAATAAGAACTTTTTTAAAAATGTAAAGACTGAGAAAATAGAAAGCTGCTTTTGTGTAGCTACTTCTCAGGTGTGCCCAGATAGTATCAACATTTTAATGGCTAAAGAGCCCGTCCAGCTTCCTCACTGATAGTCTCCTATTCAATAATGTAAAAAATCTAAATTTCAAGCTTATTCTTGTGACTAAATAAAGCTACTTTTACTTTAAACTAAAGAAAATGCAGTGACAAAACAGGGTGGACCTAAGGAGCTTCCTTCTTCCTGAATTGGCTCTGGTGCAAATAAGTTTGCTCGCCACTGACTTAGATGATTCAGAAATAAATATGACTCTCCCACTCAATCTTCATTCCTCGACATCAGACCTGTTTGCTTCAACAGCTAGTAACAAAAGGACTTTTCTTGGCGTCACATATGGAACTAATAGCTTTTTTGACATATTAAGTCTTCAGAATTAACATTAAAATACTCAACTTTTTGTAGACAACTAAGAAAATGAAGAAGTTAGAGAAGGACACAGCCACGTGGAAAGCCCGGTTTGAGAACTGTAACAAAGCTCTGCTGGACATGATTGAAGAGGTAAGAAGACTTCCCCCCAGCTTATTTTCCCCCATCTAGTCCAAATAGTTGTACTCAGAAGATAATTATTACCTAATAGTACAAATTATTATCTTTGAAAAAGAGCTGATTTTTTTTTCTGAGACATGACATATGAAATTATAATAAAAATAGAGCAAAAAAATAGAATTGGGTCCAGTCTCACAAAGAGCTTTGTGACCCTAAGTCACATGCCTACTTGCCGGGTCCAAAGCTGTCCTCAAATCAGCTCCATGCCTGCTCGACTGCATTCCTTAAAGACAGGACAAGCGTCTTACTTGTCTTTGAATTTCCCCAGTGCCTGGCACAGAGCAGGTGCAGAATATATTAGTGAGTTGATTTGAACATATGAGAGAAGACACCAGCCGGAGCACCCAGGGTATGTACTACTTTATAGACAGATATGGGGATGTATTGTTTAATTCTTCTAACAGGCATTTAATTACGGTAGTATGTCAGGCTCTGTAGATGTTGACCCAAAGATACGTGGCCCTGAATCTGAAAGGCAGATTTTACAGGCAAAGGTCTCTCCATGTGAACAAGCAAAAAAAAAAGAAAAGAAAAGAAAAAAAGAAGTCTTAAAGGGTACAAAGTAGCACAAGGGTGGAGGCAAGGAGTAAGATGATTAGGAACGATTTCACACACAAACACACCAACATTTCTACAGAAAAGGAGGAGAATGGAATAGGTTGAGCAAGCAGCATCATGAATTAGTGTGTGGGAGTTTCTGTCATTATAATTACTGTTCTAACAATTCATCCCAAATTGCAACCAGTTCCAAAGAGATGAGCTTATTATTCACCAACATAAATCAAACAGTTGCTGGATTCCCATCTAGCAGTTTATCTATAGTCTAGATGAGCCACTGCTGACAGCCAGGTCCCCCTCCATCTCATTCATTGTGCTACTGGAAGACGTCTAAGTCCTGGAAGCAGAAAATGCATCTTACTTAAGATATTGGAGGCCTTGGGCTGAAGCAGAGAGAAGTTTTGCCGTCTTTCTCTCCCAAAGAAAAGGATACAGTGATTAAAGTTCTACCAGAGTCTCACACACTAATGGAGAAACTGCAGTGATGCCCCTGGCCAGGTGTCTGTTCAGCCACCTCTCTGAGGCCCCAGAGGCAGGTAGACAGATTCCTGGACAAATGGTTTTGCTTGTCTCCAGACAGCGTCCTGGCAATTTAACTTTGTTGTTTTATGCTTTTTTGCTTTTTCTATTGTTTTCAAATCACAGAAAGCACTGAGAGCTAAAGAATATGAGTGCTTCGTCATGAAAATCGGGAGGCTGGAGAACCTCTGTCGAGCTTTACAAGAAGAGAGAAATGAACTCTACACGAAAATTAGAGAGGCAAAAATGCCTCAGAAGGATGACCGAAGTCAGCACACCTCCGACGAGGAGCCCGAGTCCGCTGTGTCTGAGCGGGTGGGGGTTGATGCGGAGGAAGCCGAGAGTGTTCACAATGCTGTGAAAAATCTGGCCACAGCCTTCATGGCCATTCATCAGCCAGAGTCGACCCTTGACCAGGCCAAAGAAATCCAACCAGAATTCGGCAGTCCTCAAGGGGATGGTGACTCGGCCCTCCAGGAGCCGGCACAACCCCCTCTGAGCCCTTTGTGCCATTCAGAGAGTTCCCTGCCTCCCCCAACTCCTCAGGCGGAAGCTGAAAGAGGCCATGAGGCGGAACTGCCCCCCAGGCCCGGGAATCCCCCCCTGGGGTCGGGAGCAGAGGCCCAAGACCGGGGTCCCCTTGCAGCAGTCCAGGCTGATCAGCCGCCCCACAAGCCAGAGGCAGAAGCTTCTAGTCAGGCCCGGCCGTCCCCCGCCGAGGCTTCCCTACCCGCGATGGAGGCAAACGGTCCTGCTCCACCACCCACGGCAGCTGAGCAGATGCCAGCTGGGGTGCTTGGATGTGGGCCCAGCAGGCCGCCGCCCCCACCCCCACCGGACACAACAGCAGGGGGGCTGCCAGCAGGGGCCTCAGAGGGGCCCCAGCTGCCCCAAGTGGCCGACAGCAACCTAGAAGGAGTAGACTAAGCCTCATGGTGCCTTCCGAAGCTCTTCTTCCCGACGTTCCATCTCCATCATAACAGCTTGTCTTCTGAAAAGGCATTAAGGGCTAAGGATGTCTAAGGGAAGAGACTTGATTAGAATCAAGACATTTTCAAATCTTACGCAGAACACATTCAGCCTGTGCTATTTGTTCTCAATTTATCACTGATTTGGAGCTTTTCTATTTAACGCGGGTTGATGGTATAATTTTCCCAAATGGCAACAGAACATACAAATAGAAAATTCATATTAGTTTTCCATTGAGATGGTATTTATTTCAACTTCTTAATCAACAGTAAGATTTGGAGTTTCAAGACTTCCACTACAATTTAGAAATACAGAAAATGTGATGTTTCATTTTATTTCCCTATATAGTTTTAATAAGTTCCAAAGTAAGTAATGGATGTCCAGGTTCCATTTAAGCATTATATACATAATATATGCATACATGTGGGTGTGCGTGTATATATATATACATATATGTATATATGTCTGAATATACACATATGTGTGTGAATATATACATATGTGAGTTTATGCACCTATATATACATGTGTATATTTTATATATATGTATACATATGTGTGTGTGTGTGTATATATATATATATAAAATACATACACCTCATTCCTTTTTGGAGTTGTCTCATGCAAAATATTTAGATGGTAATAAAAAAACATCTCTTACTTGCTTGGGATGAGAGTAGATTAATGCTCTATGAATCAGAAGTAGGTTCAGAACGCAAGTATTTAGGCCATGTAATGTTGGGCAAAAACAAGTAACTGAATGGTAGATCAATAAATCCAACCTGTTGATCAAATGACCGAAAAGCAGTTGGGCCGATTGCGAGTGTGCAGAACACACAGACACGCAGGTGCCACAAGAGGTCCTAAACAGAAAAGGGGAACAGTCGCAGCTGTAGATTGCTCGCCTCCTCCAGCTGCCGCTCGGACACAACTCAGAGCACTGCTTTGCTACCCCGCATGGTGAGGCAGGCACTCTGTGGCTACCTGCACGGAAAGTTCTGGAAGTGGGAAGCAAGCCAGGGCATGGAGGGATTGAGGGTCCCCAGAGACGAGGCAATGCTCTTACCCCCTGCCCCCTGTGCTACGGGAGTCTTAAGAAAGAATATTCACCTGGCCCTGCCAAGTTCCCAGTTCCCTCACTGTCATCTACTGCTCTCTCTCCAGAGGGGCTCCCACCACTTCTTGCTGTCACGGCTTTAATCTATATTCTCAAAGCACCTGCACCTTTTTTCGAAACCCCCACCCCAGACTTTGCAGAAAATTATACCCGGCCTTCATCTCAATTACTGCTAACTAAAAGCTATTATTTTTCCAAAACAGAAGTCCACACAGGGTCTCAATATGAGTAATGAGGCATACAAACCAACACGTTATCTGCTTTGTGGAATTCTCTACCAGGAATAAATGGGGCCCTACTCTAAAGGTTTTGAAAAATAGGTGAGGACTCAGAAGAAGGCAAAAGCTAGAGACACCTGGGGTTGTCTACATGAGTATTACATTACCATTGCTGGACAAGAACCTCTAACACCACTGAGAGCATAAATCATTCGACCTAGGGTAGAAGGAGGCTGGAACAAAGAAACAGGAAGCAAGGGAGGACAGGAGGGCAAAGGAGAGAGGAAGGGGGAGAGGAGGGAGAAAAGGAAAAAAAGGTCTAACCCAGCCCTACCTTAAAAGTTGAATTCAAGTAGAAAAATGGATGAAAGCAAGATTCTCTACTGTTCATCCAGAAAACCGTTCTTTAGTGTCACGTGTGGCTTTCTGCCAAGGAACACAAAGTGCTTGTAGGCAGCAACCATATGCTCCAAGAATTGTAAACTGCATAAAATTTGTTTGAAGTAGACAGTGAGGGTAATAACAAAATGCTAATCAAGAAAAAAAGCATATCACTATTTGAGAACCCACGTATTTTTATTTATTTTTTTTTCCATGGATCTTTAAAGGCTCGAAATACTATAACCACAAATGATCCAGCCAAATTCAACATTACTGGAAATCTTCGAGATTTAAACATTAATTTAATTCACAGCCAAGTACTCACCACAACAATCCAGGAGGGTCTCCTTGCCCACTATTTACAGAAGCTAAACTTCCAAGAATGGAGTAAGATTAGATAATCATAGTAAAGTCTCAGTCTGAATGTTTCGCAAGACAAACAGGCAGGAGAAGAGCCAAAATCTGGTAAATCAAATATTCTAATACCCAAATTCTTTTTTTTTTTTCATCCAAAAAGCTTTCACAGCAACACATTACGCACTACTGTGTATATCTTGGGCCGAGTTTCAATGCAATACCTTGCCTAAACTTTGCAAAGCTTAATATAGGCTCTGGAAGGATTATTTTAATATTCAAAGAATGTTTTATTATAGTCCTCTGTGTTAAAATTCAGCCTTACTAATTATAACAATAATTCGTAAGACCTGAAAGAGTAAGGAATTTCTTCATTATCAAGTTCACGTAGCTCTTTCTAGAGATGCCAGGTCTACTTTCCAGAAACACCAGCATTGTTTACGCTTTCTAAATTAAATAACTCTGATTTATGTATCTATTAAAGTTACTTCTCTTCCTGAATGCCTACTTTTGTTACTTCCATGTGTCAATAATACCTAACAAAGAGTATGGCTTTAAATCGTTGTTGGTTACATTTTTGGTCTCTGAGTCGAATGTACATATAATGCAAACTTTGAACACCTTGGC